GGGACCCTGAGAAGTTTCACCTGAAGAAGGAAGTCTTCAGGTTGGTAGACCTGTCAGAGATGTGGTTGAAAACATATTAGAAGTATTTGTAAAGAAGAAGCAAACATCTGAGGAATGATTCTGCCATGCCCCATGCGCTTGCTGGGGCCAATGTGAGTTGTAGCGGAAACATCTGGAAGGCAGCAGGTCACCAAAGGCTGTCCCAAACTTGGGTCTCCAGCTGTTACTGGACTACAACTCCCATCATCCCCAGCTACCAAGATTGGTGGTCAGGGATGATGGGAACTGTAGTTCAAAAGCAGTTTGGAAAACACTGTCCTAAACGAAAGTGTGGCACATCTAATGGCAACACACTATATTCTGCTTCTTTTTCTGTTTAAGATGGGAGGCGAAAGATAGAAACAGAAAGAAAGAGATTTCACCCTGCTCCCTACAAAGCAGGACGATGCTCTCTTATCTTTAGCAGTGCCGCAATAGGGTATTTTGATAGGGATATATTCACATTTCTGTTGTGACAAGTTGCTCCTGTAAGAAAATATCAATTTCTAATCAACACTTAGAAAACAAGGAGCCCCATCTCTCTTTTGCATTCAAAAGCAGGTGAGGGTGAAACTTGTGGCCCTCCAGAGATAAACTACAACTCCCACCATCCCTAAACATTGGCCGCGCTGGTTGGGGCAAGTGGGAGTTGAAGTCCAACAACATTTGGAGGAGCAGGAGGTTTCCCAGCCTGTCCTAAAGGGAGAAGAAGGGTCAAAAGAGCAAAGAAAGCAGAAGTAGCCCTGTAATTTCAAATTAAAAGGTGGGCTCTGGCTACGAGAAAGCTGCAAAAGCTGCACAACACATTCCCCTCTCCCTGGGAGCCTCTGGACACTTTCCAGAGTGTTACACACTTTGCACAGAATTTAAGTTTCCTTGCAGCAGAATGTGGACTTCTGGGTGCGAGGTGTATAAATTATCTCTGGCCATAAGACTGCCAACTGCTAGCAACAGTAGAAAAAATTCTGCCTCCCCTATTCAGATCTCAGCTGGTTCCATCTGTGAAGCCATACACCCTATAGCCACATCTCCTCAGTTCATGCATGTGTAGTTTGCTCTCAGTCTCACTGCATCATGGACTTCGTAGATGTAACCTTGTGAGTGTCGGGTGTTGGCCTCTAGACTACAAAATCCACGATGCAGCGCAACTGAGCACAATAAGAAAGACTCACACTAACTCTTTATGCAGCAGACATTTGCACGGTGGCCCAAATTGAAGCAATGCATGTTTCTAGAAGCCCACAACCACACGACACAATCCCAGGTTAGCAGAATACCATGTTTTGCTCCCATCCCAAGTCCATTTTCGGCTGGGATTTTTTAGATCCCTAAAAATGACTTGAGACATTCACTGGACAGCGTACAAACCAATTAACACATTTCTCTAGGAATCCAAATTTGCTCCATGGTTGGTGAGAGACAAAGCATGGGCTGAGCGTGCCAAGATGATGCTAAACCTCAAAGTAACTCCCGCCTTGCAGAACCTTACCTCTGCAAGAAGTCCAACAGTTGTACATCACTCAATACAACGCACCTAAAACAAGGGCAGTGGGAGCTGTTTTTTTACTAGGATCCCTCACCAGCAGGTCTTTTAAGTCCTTCCCCCCGTAGTGCAAAAAAGAGCCATGAGATTCTTAGTAAAAACACCATCGTCATGTCAGGAATGTTTTGAGAAACCATCAAAGAACGCCACACACCCAACCATCCTCATCCTCTCAAAGCGGCTGGTGGGGAAGAGGACCAAGGGATGTCCTAGGCAAGAGGTCAGGCTGGTTGGTGCTCATGTCAGCAGCACTTGCTTCAGAGGTATCGTCGGCCTTTTTGCAAAAGCTTGCCGTGACCTCCGAAAGTTTGAGGACAGAATGGGGGGGTGGGGAGAAGCTGGAAAGAGGAGGAGGAGAAGGGTCACAGCACCTTGGTTAGAAGTAAACAGTTAACGTGCATTTACACAAGAGTCCTCAAAATCCATGTGCCATAGAAACGGTGGTTGGTTGGTTGGTTGGTTTTGAATACCAGAATGCTCCTTAACAACAGTTTAGTATATCTAGGAAAGAGTGGGGACAGCAGGGAATATCCCGATCGTGGAAGAGGTCCGCAGCAAGCAACCTCTCTCCCCTCTTGTCTTCCCGCCTTCCCACTAACAGACGTTGCTACGATCGAAACAGAGCAAGGAGTAGCTGACATGGTGTCCTACAGCCATTGCTGGACTGCCAACTTCCTGTGATGGGCGTTGCAGTTCAACAGTGTTTGCAGGGCACCACGTTGGCTACCCCTGAATTAGAGAGACGGAGGGAGGGAGGGAATGGGCACCGCTCTTGCTCACAAGTCTCTTTGTTTTTGTTTTGTTTTCTTTGCAACAGGAAAGTCCTTCCTAAATTATCTGCGATTCCAGCTGAACTGCAGACAGTGACAAGGATGTTCCTTTCCTTCGCAACTTCCATCCCAGCTTCCTTTTTTTTCACTGGTCTTGCATCTGCTGTTTCATTTTCTGCAGCATCTCTTGCATTCTACGCAACTGTAGGAAGGAAAGAGAGGGAGGGGAAGAGGTTATGCTGTTTATTTGAAACATTGGTATTCCGCTTTTCCAGCAATACTCTCTCCCCCACCCCACCCCCGCCGCCAGGCTGCCCCCCATTTCAAGGCAGATTATATTTCTACACTGCATCATGGGCTTTGTAGTCTTCAGTGGTATAGTACAAGCCCCTGAGTCCTAAAAGAAAATGGTGTTGCTGAACTTGTGCAGTGGAGTAAGGAATAAGACCTCCAACATCTGACTCTGAGTACTTACACTGCCAACAATGGAAAATTTGCACTTTCAGGCAGCGCAAAAGTCCACTCTTACCTAGAGACATGAACACGCCCCACTCTCTTGGGAACCTGGTGTTTACATTGCTATTGGAGGCTGCTGGTTAAATGTTAAGGTAAAGGTAAAGGGACTCCTGACCATTAGGTTCAGTCGTGACCGACTCTGGGGTTGCGGCGCTCATCTTGCTTTTCTGGCCGAGGGAGCCGGCGTACAGCTTCCAGGTCATGTGGCCAACATGACGAAGCCTCTTCTGGCAAACCAGAGCAGCGCACAGAAATGCCATTTACTTTCCCGCCGGAGCAGTACCTATTTATCTACTTGCACTTTGACGTGCTTTCGAACTGCTAGGTTGGCAGGAGCAGGGACCGAGCAACGGGAGCTCACCCCGTCATGGGGATTCAAACCGCCAACCTTCTGATCGGCAAGTCCTAGGCCCTGTGGTTTAACCCACAGCACCACCTGCGTCACTCCGGTTAAATGTTAGCCTCCTTCAAAAACAGTTGACTTGGGGATTGCACCTATTGGACAGTGCCTGTGCCGTCACTGATGACAAAATGACACACACTTAATACCGACACCAATGACTGTGGAAGTTCTGAAGACTTAATATGAGTGAAGTTTTCTTCTTCTCTTTTTTTCTTAATATACTTTCCTAAGTATGCAAATATGCTTTGGGTTAATTGATGAGCCAGGGTGCTGTACCAGAAGGTCCATTGGCCTGATCCAGCACGACACTTGATCCTTTTTCAAGATGAGAGTGAACAATGGTAGGGTTGCCATATTTGAAAAAGTAAACACCAGGACACCCGAAAAGTTGTTCAGCTTTTTTTTAAGGAAGACCCCCAAATGGTTGAGCTTTTCTTTAGGGGACCACCAAGATTGTTGAGGGTTTTGTTTTGTTTTTTACAAAAACGCCAAAAAAACGTGATTTTTCAATTGGCTTGCCTAATCATCATCATCAATAATAATTAATTTATACCCCACCCATCTGGCTGGGTTTCCCCAGCCACTCTGGGCAGCTCCCAACAGAATTGATGATGATGATGACGACGACAACAACAACAACAACAACAACAACAACAACAACAACAACAACAACATCAGATATAAAAACTTCCCTAAGATCCAGGACAAAATACCGCCTTTCAGAAATTCCTTCTAACAATGGCAAAGTGCTCCATCGCACGACAAAAGTACCACCACCACCACCACAAACAGCTCCAAATTCAAGAAGAAGATAGCTAGCTTGGGTGATGTCTCAAGAGTGACCAACAGCAAAATGCTTCCTTACCTCTTCATCTTTCATCTTGATCAGCTTCTCCGTTTCCGCATCCGGTGTTGGGAGCGGCAAAATCGGGATGGGGCTCTCTATCCTGTTATCCTGAGTCAGCTTGCTAAAAACATGAGCAGGAGAAAAAGGGAATTAAGCTGGGTTTCATTAACTCTCCAATCCAGGAGGTTGCTTTATGGCAGTAGTGACGAGTCAAAAGTTCTCAGACGACATTTTTCTAACAAAATTTCATTTTCCCACTACCACCCAAGGGAAAAAAAGTCCCCCTGCAACATTTATCCATTCATTCACCAACAATCTTGGACCTGCCGTTGCTTGGGAGCTCTAAGCACAACAACAAAAAATCAGTGCAAAGTTTGATAATGATATGGAAGAAGAAAAGGTTGGGAAAGGAGAAAGGTAGAACCATCTCTGTTAATCCCCTTAATTACCTGGGTGCTTAAAATCAGTGCAATTTTTAAAAGGTCCAGTCTGCCATCTTGATTCAAACTAGTGTCCCATTGTATCCAAACATTGGGGGGGGGTCCATAATTTCAGGAACCGCCATGCAAAATTTGGTTGAAAACAGTGCAGGCTTGAAAGGTTCAGTCCACCATATTGATTCAAAATGGTGTCCAATTGTGTCCAAAGATGGACGGAAATCTGCTCCTTGATTTCAGGTGCCACCATGCAAAATTTAGTTACATGCAAAGGTAAAGGGTAAAGGGACCCCTGACTGTTAAGTTGAGCCGTGGACGACACTGGGGTTGCGGCGCTCATCTCGCTTTATTGGCCGAGGGAGCCTGCATACAGCTTCTGGGTCATGTGGCCAGCATGACTAAGCCGCTTCTGGCAAACCAGAGCAGCGCACGGAAACGCCGTTTACCTTCCCGCTTGAGCGGTACCTATTTATCTACTTGCACTCTGACATGCTTTCGAACTGTTAGGTTGGCAGGAGCAAGGACCGAGCAACGGGAGCTCACCCCGTCACGGGGATTCAAACTGCCAACTTTCTGTAGTTTATGCCCAAATGCATAGTGAACAAATGAACAAACAGTTTTCCAAAATATATAGTTGATTCACTCATCCAGCCAACCATCAACTTTAAATCTCAATCTGGTTTAAGGAGATAACAGAAATCACTGGGTTAAAGCTGACCAAAAGTTCAGCGGTAGCATTATTATCAATTTATGATGGGGTGGAAGGTTTGCAGGCTATGGAGGACTTGCTCACAAACTTATTGACGGCTGCACAAAATATTATAGCTAGGAAGTGGAAGGGGCAGGCAGAATATAAAACCAAAGAATGGTATAAAGAGGTGTGGGGTATAGCTATGAATGATAAATTCACATGTGCCATTAAGGTAAGGCAGGGAATATGCAGGAGAAATGATTTTGAGGAGACATGAAGGCTGTTTGTAGAATTTGTACTGTTAAAATGGGAAGGGGTCAAACCATCGCGAGAGGTGTTGAAATTTTGGGAGGTTGGGTAGTTACAATGGAATGGTCTCGGTGGTGGGGTGCGCATTTTTATTCTTATTTATTTATTATTATTAATTTGAAAGAAAAAAATCTCAATCTGAAGCAAATGACTGATAACAACAAAGAATAAATAAAGAATAAATAAAGATTCTAGTCCTCATGGGTTTAAGTAAAGGGCTGAATTAAACAGAAACAGAGGCTCCACCACTGAGCTAAGGCCCTTCGCTGAAATGTTGCGTGTCACATTTTCAGAAGAGAAATCATCCTGCTTTCAGAAGACGTTTGCCACACAACAACAACAGCTCTAAGCATAGCTGTCAACTTACAGATTTGAAAATAAGGGGCCAGCAGCCTGGAAAATAAGGGACCAGCAGCCAAAATAAGGGATTTTAGTCAACCAGCTCCTGAGCCAAAGGCAGAAAGCCCAGCCAGCAGCCAAACGAAGCCTCAAGCGGTGGTTCCCACAGCGCAGCAAACCAGCAAAGGAGGTGCAGCAAGGAAAACCACCATCACCTCTCCGCTGGGAAGCGCTGAGCAAAGGCGAGTCCCCAGGCAACACGGCCAATTTGATCAGGACAAGGCATGCAAGCTCCATGCCCCAGTCGTTCTTAGACTTTGTAGTGGGTGAGCAACGCAGCCAAGCAACACAGTTGGAGCCTCCCTCCGCCCTGGCTGGCAGGGAAGGAGGGAGGGAGAGGAGCTGCTTCCTTTGAAAGCCGGGAAATTTAAGGGACATCATCAATAAGGGACAGCAGCAGGACACGGCGCTGGGATAAGGGAGTTTCCAACCAAATAAGGGACGGTTGACAGCTATGGCTCTAAGGGCTGATTCACACATACGCATTCATCCCTTGACGGAGCAGAACCTCAGGGGGACCCTACCTGGTCATCTGCTGGATGCACTGCGCCCGATAGTTCTCGTAGTGAACGTCGCAGGTGACGTCCTTCAGGTCGTGCATGTGTGTTCGGATCAGCATGTTCCGCAGTTTCACAAAGTCACAGTGCGCCTGGTTTTCCACTGAGGAAGCAGCAACAACAGACATCGTTTGGCACACAGCAACAGACAAACAAATCTCGGGTGAGGAGGGGAATGTATGCACCAAAATCCCCCTTTACATCCTAACCGTATTGTTATTTCAAGTGCACACACACACACACAACAATGTGTATGACTGTAAAAGGAACTGTGTTAGAGAATAAACGTGACAAGCACAGCTAAGCTGTGGTGGAAGGAAATCCACCGGATAGCTCATTTCAGACACATTCCTCTGACATGCCTTGGGGAACCCATGAAAAGAAATACGCAATTTCAAGGGGACGCGGGTTTTTTAATTGCATACGACGCATGTGTGCATGTGTGTTTGTGTGTGTGGAGGCTGGCCCCTGTTTAGGGAAGCTTTTAATGTTTGATGCATTACTGTACTTTAATATTTTGTTGAAAGCCTCCCAGAGTGGCTGGGGAAGCCCAGCCAGATGGGCGGGATATAAATAAATATTATTATTATTATTATTATTATTATTATTAGGGCAGATGAGGCACTTTGCAGACACCAGTGGAAGTCACCAAAGGAGCCACTGCCGCCACAGGTCCAACCATGAGCTTCACATCCTCACAAATTGCTAAGTCTCCAATTAGTCGAGATGGCATTGTTTCACATCCCCTCTGTTAGTGATTGGGAACATACACATGGCCTCATCGGATTACAATAAGGCCCAGGGTTATGCTCCAACACTAGCCTGCCAGAGGCCTCTGAAGCGGGGGTGGGGAGAGATCTGGCCCCTCAGGTGCTGCTGGACTACAGTTCCCATCATCTCTCTCTACTGGCCATGGTGGCTGAGGCTCATGGGAGCTGGAGTCCAGGAGCATCTACAGCAGGGCAGTCTAACCTCTCTGACCACGTGGGCTGCAAGAGTACTTTGACACAGAACCTGCGGGCCACAGCACTGAATTTAATTCTCACATCATAAATGAAAGAGTTTGCAATATAGTTAATACTATTTAATTTACAGAATTAATATATTTAATTGGACGACTCTGATCTAGAGGACATCAGGTTGGGGGAGATTGTTTTAAAAGCTTCCCCAGCAAGCACATTCTGAGTTTTTTGACCATTGGCTCTCTGAATTCCATTGATGCTGCTTCCCATTTTAGCACATCGTGTTATTTATATCATGCTTTTAGCGCTGTGGTTGTTACGCGCTTGTTGCCGTTACTTGCTTAATCGTTTGCTGGGTTTCGTTAGCTGCTTTGAGTGCCCCCATTGGAGGGGAGGAAAAGCAGAGTATTATTTCATTTAATTATTTTAAATATATATATATACCCTGCTCTTCATCACACCCGGGTCCTAAATCTCCTTGCAAAAACAAAAATATACGATATACAAAATTTAGAACATGAACACCGGGAGAATAAAACAGCATTTGTGGTGGTGCAAAGGTCTCCTGAAATAAAACTGCTTTCACCTGGTGCCTGAAACCTACCAGAGGCAGCAGGTGTGCTGGGTTCCTCCCAACATTGTGGGTGCCCAATGCGTGGGCATGACTGGTAGGAGCCCCGACGCACCTTCTGAAAGGTCCGTCAGGGCCTGTTGTGACTGCGGCAGGCTCCGTCAGGCCCTCCGGCTACTGCCACAGGTTCCAACGGAGCCTCACCTGCAGCAGGAGGGCCCATCAGAGCTCACCGCAGTCAGAGTAGGGGCAGCTAGAGTCAAGGGCACCATCTCACCCTCAGGATTGTGGGTGCCCGTCGCCACAACACAGATGTTTGACGTCACACACGCAAACCTGCACATGCAGGACACTGAGGTCTAGCTCCACGGCATAGCTGTCAACCTTTCCCCTTTTTTGCGGGAAATTCCCTTATTCCAGTGCCATTTCCCACTGCTTCCCGCTGCTATCCTGGATTGTTACATATCCCATAGACTGTCCCCGGGACAGGTGAGGCTGCTGATCCCTTATTTTCAAATCTGAAAGTTGACAGCTATGCTCCAAGGGCCTTCTGGAGGTTCCCTCACTGCGAGAAGCGAAGTTACAGGGAAGCAGGCAGAGGGCCTTCTCAGTGGTGGCGCCCTCCCATCAGATGTCAAGGAAATAAACAACTATCTGACTTTTAGAAGACATCTGAAGGCAGCCCTGTTTAGGGAAGTTTTTAATGTTTGATGTTTTGTCGTATTTTTAATATTCTGTTGGGAGCCGCCCAGACTGACTGGGGAAACCCAGCCAGATGGGTGGGGTATAAATAATAAATTATTATATTAACATTATTACATGTGTGTGTGACGTCGCACAGCTCTGTTGTTGTTTTTTTAAAGATATTTATTGAAAGTTTTTAAGATATATCAAAAAAAGAAAAATAAACATACAAAATAAAAAAACAGTTAAAAACACACATTAATTTTCAATAACATAACTTCCATACACTTATTTCCTCGGACCTCCTTGTACCTCCCTTCTTTGTATTCCAGTTCAATTTGTTAGTTCAGCAAATCCTTACCATTAAACTTTTACCCATTTGTGAAACCTTTTTTTTTCATATCTCTTAAAACATTACAGCTGGAAACCGCTTAGTTTCTATCCAACATCCTTCTAACATTCATTAATTTTACAATGTTTCTGTAAGTAGTCTTTGAATTTCTTCCAGTCTTCTTTCACCGACTCTTCTCCCTGGTCTCAGATTCTGCCAGTCATTTCTGCCAATTCCATGTAGTCAATCACCTTCATCTGCCATTCTTCCAGGGTGGGTAGATCTTGTGTCTTCCAATACTTTGCAATAAGTATTCTTGCTGCTGTTGTTGCATACATAAAAAAAGTTCTGTCCTTCTTTGGCACCAATTGGCCGACAATGCCCAAGAGAAAGGCCTCTGGTTTCTTCAGGAAGGTATACTTAAATACCTTTTTCAATTCATTATATATCATTTCCCAGAAGGCCTTAATCTTCGGGCACGTCCACCAAAGGTGAAAAAATGTGCCTTCAGTTTCTTTACATTTCCAGCATTTATTATCAGGCAAATGATAGATTTTTGCAAGCTTGACTGGGGTCATGTACCACCTGTATATCATTTTCATAATATTCTCTCTTAAGGCATTATATGCCGTAAACTTCATACCTGTGGTCCATAACTGTTCCCAGTCAGCCATCATGATGTTATGTCCAACGTCCTGTGCCCATTTAATCATAACAGTTCTGTTGTGCTGGCCACTGGTGGCTCTTCTCCGCAGTCAGTGAGGCACCCTATTTCTGCAGGGAGGGGCTCAGAGAGACTCTGCCTCCATGTCTGACACACACACACACACACACACACCCAGAAAAGGGTGCCTCTCATAGGCATCTTCACTGCCACCTGCCAGCTTTTCTCATTGACTCTGTGGGTGCCCAGCCCCCACAATTATATTCTTGTGGGTGCCCAATCACCCATGGCTGCCTGGAATTGGCTCCCATGGCTGGAGCCCGCCCAGCTGTGGAACATTGAGGGGGCCCTTTGAATTTTTTTGTGGGTGCCAGGGCACCCACAGCCCTGCAGAGATGCCACCATGAGAGGCAGCGAATGTCTGACTTCTAATAGGAGGGAGTTCCATAACGCTGGACCCACCACACTGAAAACACGACTCCTCGTTGTCATGAGTCGTGCTTCTGGTCCATGGGGGACTGCTAATAGCAGAAATCAGAGTAGAATTAAATAGTATAAATAACCGAGGCATGGGCTTCCTGCTCTGGGTTGGCACTTGCAGGTAGAATGCCCCTGAACCAGCAGGTTCCATTTAGCTAGGAGGGCCAAACAGCTTTTCGGAGACCCAACGTCCAGGACTCCCATCTCACTTCCCAGGACCATGGCTCACCTTCCACGATTCCCCAAGGGTAGAGCCGCCCTCGTACCCTCTGACCTTTGGCCTCCACCACCGTGTTGCTGCCGATGACTGCGAAGGGAGCACTTTCCTAGAATGGGAGGAGAGATAATTTCAGGGTTTATTGGACATGGTCAGACATGGACCCAGAAAGAAGCTAGAGATCAGAGCAGTTGGAGAAGACCAGTGGAAGAAAAGAAGATTTAAGGAAGCAGAGTGAGGGATTCCTCAGTTTTCTTGGCCCAGGGTTCAACAGTTCCCATCAGCTCCAACCCCTGGCCATGCCGATTGGGAGTGATGGGTCTGGGAGTCCAATAATATCTGGACAGGCAGATGTGGTCCATATTGCTTTAGATGTTTGCCTGACATGCTGAAGGAGGGAGAGGACCATGTTCACGCATCAAGTGTGGGTATTACAGGATAACATTTGTGTCCAAATTCATATTTTGTGATTCAACATATACTGTATTTTTCCGTGTATAAGACGAGGTTTTTTAATTATAAATAAATGTTAAAAACTGAGGTTCGGCTTATAAATGGATAGTGCAGAGGGGGAACAGGCGACTGGTAGCAGCCATGAGCAGGAGATCGTCAGTGGCGATTGGGCGAGTGATTGGTGGCTGTGTCAAGGCCTGCTGGCAATTGGCTGCTGCTGCGGCAATTGGATGGGCAATTGGCGGCAGCTGGTGGCAAGCGGGCAGATGATTGGTGGCTTCGGCAGGCGATTGGCATTGGCGGCAATCCCCCCCCCCCCATAAAATAGCTCAACAACTCTGGGCAATCTCCCCCCCATAATTCCTTAATTTGTAGTCCCCAAAAATAGGGGCCGTCTTATACACATGGGTGTGTTATACACCAAAAAAGACAGTACTTAACTAATGCACACTTAACAAATTTTCACGGCCCTCTAGTGTCTATGGTGGAAGTAATGTGTTAGCGTTAACTCTGAAAGTGTATACTCAATTCTGACCAAACTAAGCCTCTTAATGTATATTTTGCTCTAGGAAGTTTAGTTGGCTCAGAATCAAGTATACACTTCCAGGGTTAATATTAAACACATTATTACTTCTGGTAAATGAGCCAGCATAGTTGCTAGAGGGATGTGAAAATTTGCGTCCCAGGCTTTTAAAGACTCAGCTACACGGGTACAGTGGTAACTCCGGTTGCGAACAGGATCCGTTCCGGAGGTCCGGACGCATCCCGAGTAATTCGCAACCGTACAGAAACATTTGCACTAAAATGCTGGTGAATTTTCATTATGATAAAATTGCAAACTGATATGAAAATGCGGGAAACTTAAGACGGACAAAATGAAAAGCTGAAACAACCCCAAATTGACAGGTTGTCTCATCCCTAACCATGACCAAGTATTATGGGAAATATTTTTGCCCCTTCCTCACCTTCAGCTCTCTGTCTTGTTGTTTGAAGTCCTCGTCTTCGTCAGAATCGCACTCAGGAAACTGGTAAACTTTAATTCCAAACTTGTCAATCTCCTCCCTGATCTGCACAGGAATATCCAGGAAGAAGAAAACAGGAAGAACACTCACATTACAATATAATACTTGGCTGGTGCTATAAAGAGAAACCTTTAAAGCAGGAGTAGGGAAACTTTTCCAGTCCAAGGGCCACATTCCCTTTGGGGCAATCTTCCAGGGGCCACACACCACTTGCTTTCCCCCACATCAGACCAACGCATAGCAGTCAACTTACAGATTTGAAAATAAGAGACCAGCAGCCTCGAAAATAAGGGATCAGCAGCCAAATTAAGAGATTTTGCTATTGTAAAGAGTTACATACATTGGTAGGATTGACAGATGCTGTCAATCCGGCATGAGGCAGTCGTGGCATCACCGTGGCCGCTGAAGCGCCGCCCTTCTGCGTCCCTCCCTATCCCCTCCTCTTCCTCCTCCCTCAGGCCGCCTCCTCAGCTGCCACCACTGCTGCCACCTCCAGGCCCGTGGGCGAGAGTCTCTCTCCCTCCCCCCCCTCTCGGGCGGGGAAGAGCCGATGGAACTCCTCACGCCAGGACGACGGTGCCAGCACAGGCACTCTCGCACGGCGGAGGACCCTGGGCTGCTTCTTCCCTCCCAAGCCAGGTGAGCATGAAACCCGGGAAATTTAAGGGACATCATCAATAAGGGACAGCAGCAGGACACGGCGCTGGGATAAGGGAGTTTCCCACCAAACAAGGGACGGTTGACAGCTATGGACCAATGAGCCCAATATTATTTAGTCTGGGCCAAAAAGGAAGCACACCCTGGTCCCTACAGCAGAGCATTGTCACAAGCGGTTTCTTGCAAGCTGCCTTGGGAATCACGTGACTGAAAGGCGAACTACAAGCCAGCCTTCCCCAACCCGGTGCCCTCCCACTGTTCTGAGCTAAATTCAAGGTGTCACCATTTAGTACAAGGGTCGTCAATGCAGTGCCCTCCAAATGCCATGGGCTACAACTGCCATCTTCCCTGATGGTTGGCCACCAGTTGGCTTGGGACCAGTTTACTAAACCACTGTCTTACTCCAGAAGTGCCCGCTTGACTGCTTCGATCTATAGAATTGACACTTTCACAAGAGCCACGTAATGTTGGTTCCACACTTGTAAACTGTCGATCCTTCGGTGTGGCAGCACCTCCTCTGTGGAACTCCCTGCCCAATGACTTTAGATTATTATATTATTTTTGGTGACTGTTAAAATGCTGCTTTGTTTAAGCAAGCCTATTCAGGCATGTCAATTTATTGTGTATACAGTCGTACCTTGAAAGCCAAATGGAATCCGTTCCAGAAGTCCATTTGACTTCCAAAACGTTTTCAATATGTTCTGTCCCCTCCCCTATGCTTTTCAACATCTATGTGCAGCCGCTGGGAGAGAACATCAGGGGGGTTGGGCTGGGTGTCCCTCAATATGCGGATGATACCCAGTTCTACCTCTCTTTCAAATCAGAACCATTGAAGGCGGTGAAGGTCCTGTGTGAGTGCCTGGAGGCAGCTGGAGGATGGATGGCGGCTAACAGATTGAGGTTGAATCCTGACAAGACAGAAGTACTGTTTTGGGGGGACAGGAGGCAGGCGGGTGTGGAGGACTCCCTGGTCCTGAATGGGGTAGCTGTGCCCCTGAAGGACCAGTTGCGCAGCCTTGGAGTCATTCTGGACTCACAGATGTCCATTGAGGTACAGGTCAATTCTGTGTCCAGGGCAGCTGTTTACCAGCTCCATCTGGTATGCAGGCTGAGACCCTATCTGCCCGCGGACTGCCTCGCCAGAGTGGTGCATGCTCTGGTTATCTCTCGCTTGGACTACTGCAATGCGCTCTATGTGGGGCTACCTTTGAAGGTGACCCGGAAACTACAACTAATCCAGAATGTGGCAGCTAGACTGGTGACTGGGATTGGCCGCTGAAACCACATAACACCAGTCTTGAAAGACCTACATTGGCTCCCAGTACATTTCCGAGCACAATTCAAAGTGTTGGTGCTCACCTTTAAAGCCCTAAATGGCCTTGGTCCAGTATATCTGAAGGAGCGTCTCCACTCCCATCGTTCTACCCGGACACTGAGGTCCAGCACCGAGGGCCTTCTGGCGGTTCCCTCACTGCGAGAAGCCAAGTTACAGGGAACCAGGCAGAGGGCCTTCTCAGTAGTGGCGCCCGTCCTGTGGAACACCCTCCCACCAGATGTCAAAGAGAACAACAACTACCAGACTTTTAGAAGACATCTGAAGGCAGCCCTGTTTAGGGAAGCTTTTAATGTTTGGTGCATTACTGTATTTTAATATTTTGTTGGAAGCTGCCCAGTGTGGCTGGGGAAGCCCAGCCAGATGGGTGGGGTATAAATAAATTAGTAGTAGTAGTAGTAGTACATATACACCCAGGTATGCTGGCTGGGGCGGATGGGAGTTGTAGTCAAAAAATCTAGGAACGCACCAGGTTGAGGAAGACTGGTATAAATCTTCTGAATGAATGAATGAATGAATGAATGAATGAATGAATGAATGAATCAGCACTACCGCTACTCACCCGCTCTTTTAGCTTCTTGATCTCAGAAGGAATGAGGCAGTCGGCTTTGGCAATAAGGGGAACAATGTTCACTTTTTCATGTAGAGCCTTCATGAACTCCACGTCTACCGGCCTCAGCCTGCAACAAAGAAATGCGGCGTTAGAAGGCAAGCAATCTCTATTTTTCCCTGCACACTAGCAAGGGGAACTTTCTGCCCCCCCCAAAAAAAGGACAAGACTTCCTCTTATAACAAGTCCCTTTTCCTAGAAGGGCAGCTTGGAAATGTTAGACTCTAAGCTTAATGGCTTTGTGGGGAACTTCATGCTTCCTCTTCAGATTGTAATGTGTGTGCTTATTTTATAATGTAGCAATCCGGTCCCGTTGCGTCAGGGAGCCCCTCCTGGTCATTCTGAGGAGTGGCAGACTGGAAGTCTGCCTCAAAGTCCAGTACTGATGGCACCAATGCGCTGTGGGGTAGGGAACCTTCATCCCATGGGTCTAATAAGGCCCATCAGGTCTCTCCCATTTGACTCACAAGCCCATTTGGGTCAAGCCACACCCATCTGCCCTTCACCTGATGCCATATTTGATATTCATCCTTACATTTTTCATTACAGTAGTACCTTGGGTTACAAACACTTCGGGTTACAGACTCCACTAACCCAGAAGTAGTACTTCGGGTTAAAAACTTTACCTCAGGATGAGAACAGAAATCACGCTGAGGCGGAAGGCCCCATTAGCTAAAGTGGTACCTCAGGTTAAGAACGGTTTCAGGTTAAGAACGGACCTCCAGAACAAATTAAGTTCGTAACCAGAGGTACCACTGTATTACATCTGCATCCCCCTGTTCCTCCAAGAAGCTCAATGTGGATTTTACCCTCATAACAACCCTGAAATGTAGGTTAAGGCCAAGAGAAGGTGAATGGCCCAAGGTCACTGGAGTTTCATGGCTGAATGAGGACTTGAACTCGTGTCTCCAAGGTGCTAGTCCAGAACTCTAACCATTACGCTACACTGGCTCCAGGGTATGTGAGGCAGATAAAGGAACAAGCCCATCCCACCTTACCCATGGCCAAAGGGGGAGATGAAGTAGAGGCAGCAGTGCACCCGGTTGTCCTGGATGTTCTTCCGATTGAGGCCGCTCTCATCTCGGAAGTACTGTTCAAACTGCTGGTCAATGTAATCCGTGATGGCCTTCCAACTAGAGCGAGTCACAAGGAAAAGATGGCAATGGAACACCAGTTTAGATGGTACTTAGGGACAGAGGATAACACACATTAACAGAGGAGAGATCCCTTAGATCCAGTGTAGAAATGGCTGAACTAAATATTGCCTATCATAGAGAAAGAACATAAAGAATTTGTATCCTGTCTGTCAACAACTGCAAGGATGTTAATGGCTCAAAACCGGAACGTTACGTTACTCCCTCCTTGGGAACAACAGCTTGGGACTGGACCGTAATAGCAAAAATAACTTATCTTTTCTAAGAGCGAGAATTGCAGTTCCATATAGAAACAAATTCTGGGAAAACAGGTTGCCTCTTATACAGCGTTGTCAAGAAAATAATTACCTTCCATGAAAGCAAATTCAAGGAGGTTTTGAGTTTTTGCACTAAAATGTAAACATGGGGGGTAATGTTACTGGTGTATGTTATTTCTTTCAGCTTTCACAGAGCTGCTGAAAGGGCTACTGAGAAGATATGCAAAGTGCTTTGCTTTGCTCTATGTGGGGCTGCCCTTGAGACTGACCCAGAAACTCCAGCGGGTGCAGAATGCCGCAGTAAGACTCCTTATGGGATCCTCGCTGTGGGATCACATTTACCTGGTGCTATACCAGCTGCAAGGGACGCGGGTGGCGCTGTGGGTAAAAGCCTCAGCGCCTAGGGCTTGCCGATCGAAAGGTCGGCGGTTCGAATCCCCGCGGCAGGGTGCGCTCCCGTCGTTCGGTCCCAGCGCCTGCCAACCTAGCAGTTCGAAAGCACTCTCGGGTGCAAGTAGATAAATAGGGACCGCTTACCAGCGGGAAGGTAAACGGCGTTTCCGTGTGCGGCTCTGGCTCGCCAGAGCAGCGATGTCACGCTGGCCACGTGACCCGGAAGTGTCTCCGGACAGCGCTGGCCCACGGCCTATAGAGTGAGATGGGCGCACAACCCTAGAGTCTGGCAAGACTAGCCCGTACGGGCAGGGGTACCTTTACCTTTACCTATACCAGCTGCACTGGCTCCCGGTGGAGTACAGGATCCGGTTTAAGGTGCTGGTTTTAACCTTTAAAGCCCTATACGGCCTAGGACCCTCGTACCCACAGGACCGCCTCTCCTGGTATGCCCCATGGAGGACCTTACAGTCTTCAAACAAAATCATTTTGGAGGTCCCGCACCACAGAGAGGTTAGGCTGGCCTCAACCAGAGCCAGGGCTTTTTCGGCTGTGGCTCCGATCTGGTGGAACGCTCTGTCACAAGAGACTAGGGCCCTGCGGGACTTGACATCTTTCCGCAGGGCCTGCAAGATGGAGCTGTTCCACCAGGCCTTTGGCCAGGGCACAGCCTGACCCTCTCCTTTGGCAGTCCTCACAGAACTCTAGCCCAATGGTTGCCATTAATCTGATTTGAATTGATTTTGAATTGATTTTAGAATGAAATGATTTTAGAATGTTGTATCATTTTAATGTTGTTAGCCGCTCTGAGCACGGCTTCGGCTGGGGAGGGCGGGATATAAATAAAAAAAATTTTTTATTATTGATCACTTAAACCTCTTTGCATATCTTATAGGCCAGTTTGCACTGGTATTGCAAAAAGCATGCGAAAAGGGGGAAATGGTCTATTGGAGAGAAACCAGACTGTGTCTCACAATTTCCCCTGCAGCAGAGGTATCCAAAACGGTGTGGGGTTAGGACTCACCATTCAGTGTTGTTCACAGCATCTCCAAAACCTGGCGTGTCGACAATTGTTAACTTCAACTTCACCCCCTTCTCCTCGATGTCCACCGTGTGTTTCACAATCTCTACTGTCTGACTGATTCTTTCTTGATATACAAAGATGGAAGAAAAAGAATAATGGAGGTTAGCGCCAGAGATGTCCCTCCCCTACCTCCAAATCGGCCTCACTATTTATGATTAGTTGCCAGGTTTTTCTCTCTCTCCTCTCCTTCCCCAAAATGGGATTCCCCTGCTTCCTACCCACCCCAAAAAACGGGAATCCAGTGAGGTTGATTAGCTCAGTGTTTCCCAACCTTTTTTGGGCAAAGGCACACTTGTTTCATGAAAAAAATCTCGAGGCACACCACCATGCCATATGGGGAAAGGTCACTTTTTACTTATGTAAAAAAAAATAAAAAAATAGTAACAGCATAGAAGGTAATGGTTAGGCTAGCATCCCTCTTCCAAATATGCTAGGCTTTTATTTGCAGGGACTGTTCTACATGGGAAAGCATTCAGCACTGTCATTCTCCCATCTGCCATCTGAATTGGTACTATTCTGGGTCAACTTACTCTGCTGCATGTGTAGATGAAAATGGCACCAAGTGTGGGGGAGGGGGCAGAACAGGTTTCAGATACAGGATATTAAGCATACACGTACTTCAGATTGAACTGGTTGCTTGCTTTGCAAGTTTTCATTTCCCAAATGACTGCCTTGGCAAGCGCAATACCTACCAGGCTCAACGCCGGTCTCGCGCTGCCGCTTCCCGCGCTCTCAAGGACCCTGGAGGAGGAAGGCGTGAAGGGAATCCCGAAGGCGCGAAAACCTCGCGCATGCACAGGCCTTCCGCCTGCGACAGCCCAGTAGGCCGGCCGAAGCGAGCGGCGATGGGATGTGGGAGGGAGCTCGTTCGCCGCCCCGCGTGTGCCTATGTGGGGCACGTTACAGCCCCGTGACGTCAGCGCCACGCAGGCAGCCAGGCAGGCAGACAGCGAGAGCCCCGCGCTGGGCGGCCTCTCCTCGCCGCCGCCGCCCCGCCTCTCGCCGCCCGACTCGCCCGCCTCCCTCCCACGGCACACCAGGCAACGTCTCGCGGCACACTAGTGTGCCGCGGAACACCGGTTGGGAAACACTGGATTAGCTTCATGTCTGTCCAGGGGAAACTGGTGGAAAGAGTTATTAAAGAAAAAAATAATGGAGCATATAGAAGGACAAGCCTTGCTGGAGCATAACCAGCATGGCTTCTGCAAAGGAGGAAAGATGTGCTGTTGCACTCAGGCCTTGCTTGAGGGCTTCCTATAGGTATCTGATGGCCCACTGGCTTGACCCAGCAGGGCTATTCTAACACTCATAATTGTTCTGATAGCTTTGAACTCTCAAGGAAACTTGTACCCCTCCAGTAGTTGTTGGGACTTCAGCTCCCATCATCCCCTGACCATTGATGATGCTGGTTGGAGCTGATGGAAGTTGGAGACAAACAACATCTGGAGAGTCTTAGAGACCAACTAAGTTTGTTATTGGTATGAACTTTCATGTGCATGCTCACCTCTTCAAATCTGAAGAAGTGTGCATGCACACGAAAGCTCATACCAATAATAAACTTAGCTGGTCTCTACAGTGCAACTGGAAGGATTTATTTTATTTTTTGGTTTTGTTTTGACTACGGCAGACCAACACGGCTACCTACCTATATCTAGAACATCTGGAGAGTCACAGATACTCCCCCACCAACCCTTCTTTTGAACAAAGCAGCTTGGCTTTGTAGAATTAGCTCCCACATCATCCATGTGGTTGATACATCTATATCAATAGTCTTTTCAGATCCAGTATCTACCTTTAACCAAAGCAGGCATTTGCAGACAGACTTAATTTTTTACCATATATTTATATGGCGGTAGTGCTGCTGTTGCTACTTACATTAGATCAGGTCGTGATCAAGTCATAACATACTGGTTGAAGACACTATTATTGCTCTGCTCAGTAACAAAGAGGCAACATTAGAAGCAGATCCCAGTTTATCAAGCCTAGGTTCCACTGTGGCTACAAATCTATGCCAGGGCTATAGCACTTCAAGCCGCAAGACAAGACACAGAATACTACACTTGATCTTAGCCAAAAGGCCGAGAAGCGATATGAAGTTCACGGCATGTAATGCCTTAAAAGAAAATATTATGAAAATGATATATAGGTGGTACATGACCCCAGTCAAGCTTGCAAAAATATACCATATGCCTGATAATAAATGTTGGAAGTGTAAAGAAATTGAAGGAACGTTTTTTCACCTCTGGTGGACCTGTCCTAGGGTTAAGGCCTTCTGGGAAATGATTTATAATGAGTTGAAAAAGGTATTTAAGTATACCTTCCCTAAGAAACCAGAGGCCTTCCTTTTGGGCATTGTTGGCCAGAGGGTGTTAAAAAGGGACCGAACATTCTTTATGTATGCAACAACAGCAGCAAGGATACTTATTGCAAAACATTGGAAGACCCAAGATTTGCCCACGCTGGAAGAATGGCAGATGCAGCTGATAGACTACATGGAGATGGCAGAAATGACTGGCAGAATCCGAGACCTGGGAGAAGAAGTTATGGAAGAGGACTGGAAGAAATTTAAGGACTATTTACAAAAACATTGTAAACTGTATGAGTGCTAAGAAGGATGCAGGACTGAAAATAACATGGCACTAGCAAATTTTATGAAAGGAAAATGAGAATATGTAAAATGTGAGAAAAAAGATAAACTTTGGATTAATATTGTGTCTAAATTTAAGAATATAAGTTGTTGATAAAAAATATGTAAAGTTAGAGACATAATATTGGGAAAGTACAAAATTAGAGTTGAAACAAGGTGATAATTTGCTGTTTAAAAAATTATAATTGGGAACGCAGGAACGAGAGATGTGAGGAAGTCCAAAAATTGAAGAAAGTTTGGTTTTTAAATAATGGATTTTGTTGTTTGTATACTTTTTCTTTTACTTCTCTTTTACTGTGTTTTAAGTTTTCTTTCTTTTGTGTTTCTCTTTGTTAACTGTATTTTGGTGATGGTTTCATATGTGTTTGGTGATGGAAATTGTTTAAAATCTTTAATAAATATTTATATAAAAAAAAAGACAAGACACAGAATCGTAGCTGACAGCAACGGCAGGAAACAGCACCACCTACTGGTCGGAGGTGTTGCCTGTCTGATCACGGGCAAATACCTTCGGCATTGAGAAGTTTTCGGTCTTTGTAGAGGTCTGTCAGGAACAAGCTGTTTACCAAAGTAGATTTACCCAGGCCCGACTCTCCTAAAAAGGGACAGGCGCAAATACCAGGTTAAAAGAACATCTTGGACAAGAGGTTTTCATGCTAAATTCCAAGATTATGCATTTGTTACTCTTCAAGAATGGCACCAGGGAGGTAGATTATCATCCCCCAAGCAGGAAATGTTTCCATGAAGAATGCTCTGTCCTTGGATTGACACAATATCTCATCGCCACAAATCTAGTTTGTCTTGTTCACAATGCTCACATAAGATGCTGTTATTTGGGCAGGGAAAGATTCAAAGGCATTGATTTGGCCAAGGACACACTGAGGGTGACCCCTGAGAGCCTGTAGAAGCAGGCTATACTCAGGCCCCATCTACACTATGCATTTTAAAGCAGGATCGTACCATCCTGGCTTCCCCCAAGGAATCCTGAGAGCTGTTGGTTTCCTAAGGCTGCTAAGAGTGGTGAGGGGTCCCCTATTCCCCTCTCAGAGCTATAATTCCCAGAGTTCCCTGGGTCATAGCTGTCAACTTACAGATTTGAAAATAAGGGACCAGCAGCCTCGAAAATAAGGGATCAGCAGCCAAAATAAGGGATTTTCAGAGCACAGGTATGTTCAACTTCTGAGCCCCTCCAAGCCAAAGGCAGAAAGCCCAGCCAGCAGCCAAACGAAGCCTCAAGCAGTGGTTCCCACAGCGCAGCAACCCGGCAAAGGGGATGCAGCAAGGAAAACCACCGTCACCTCTCCGCTGGGAAGCACTGAGCAAAGGCGAGTCCCCAGGCAAGGCGGCCAATTTGATTGGCACAAGGCATGCAAGTTCCACTTCCCAGTCGTTCTTAGAATCCTTATTGGGTGAGCAACACAGCCAAGCAATACAGTTGGAGCCTCCCTCCTCCCTGGCTGGCAGGGAGGGAGGGAGAGGAGCTGCTTCCTTTGAAACCCGGGAAATTTAAGGGACATCATCAATAAGGGACAGCAGCAGGACACGGCGCTGGGATAAGGGACTTTCCCGCCAAATAACGGACAGTTGACAGCTATGCCCTGGGTGGAGGGATTGATTGTTAAACCAATGGGCTGGGAAAACCTGAAAGACCACCTCCATCCCGACAGACCCTCCTTAGATCAGCACAGAGGTCTCCCTCTCTTCGTAGTTCTGCTGGGGAGTCTCACCTGCCACCATGAGGGTGAAATCAAAGCCCTTCTTCACAGATTTCCGGTGCACCTGATTGGGGAGAGTGGCGAACCCCACATACTGCTTTTCGTGGTCCTGCAAGAAGGATAGCAGCAGCCATTGGTCACCTTCTTATTGCTGCTTTTTAAAACATTTAATTAGCTGTTTTACGGCTCCCCCAATCCAAAAAGGCAGAGAATCAATATCCTTACTGCAATAAATAAGGAAGTCGTTTTGAAATTAATTCAAATCAATCAAAATGGAAAGGTTATTATTATTAATTGTTGCTGTCGTTTACGTTATACGCCACTTGATACCAGGCTTCTAAGCAGTCTACAAGTACAAAAACCAGCTGCGCAAACATGAAAATATAAACATCCATCATTAAAACAATCCCATGAAAATATTAAAATGCAGACATCTGTAATTTTAAACATGTGCAATGGAACAACCCCATTAAAACAGGAGACTCAGGACGAGAGGTGAAGGATGAGATGAAGTGAAACAAGGCTCCAGATTCAGAGAAAGTCGGCAGATTCCAAATATTGGAGAGACAAGGGTTTCAGAAGCACATTGATGGACCTGTGCAGCCAACACAGGAGGTGAGTTCGGATCCTCAACAGGTCCATTATAGCCCAGTTTTACAATGGTGGTGGCAAGCAGAAATATTTCCTGCTGCCACTCTTCCCGCCCACCTCCAACCCCTTCAAAAGAAACCCCTCCCTTGGGAAAGACACTATAGAGCTGTTGACATGGTGCATTCAACAAGAGTACGAGCTGAGTAGCTGTGCATGCAGATATTTGAGCCGGATTCAGGGCCGGATTTAGGTTTGATGAGGCCCTAAGCTACTGAAGGTAATGGGGCCCTTTATATGTCCAGCTGTCCTTTGTCAACAACAAATTGTTGCTGTTTTTTGTGTTGAATATATGCTATATGGTAATTTATGGACCTAAAGGTAAAGGTAAAGGGACCCCTGACCATTAGGTCCAGTCGTGGCTGACTCTGGGGTTGCGTTGCTCACCTCGCTTTATTGGCCGAGGGAGCCGGCGTACAGCTTCCAGGTCATGTGGCCAGCATGACTAAACTGCTTCTGGCGAACCAGAACAGCGCACAGAAACGGAGTTTACCTTCCCGCCGGAGCAGTCCCTATTTATCTACTTGCACTTTGATGTGCTTTTGAACTGCTAGGTTGGCAGGAGCAGGGACCGAGCAACGGGAGCTCACCCCGTCGCAGGGATTCAAACCGCAGACCTTCTGATCGGCAAGTCCTAGGCTCTGTGGTTTAATCCACAGCGCCACCCGCGTCCCCAATTTATGGACCTACTAGGTGTCTAAAGTCATTTGCACATGTTGCCATGGAACCAGTCCATGCAGAATGTAGGCACCTATATATAGAAATGAGCAAACCAGTGGTATTTTAGGGAGCAGGCTAGCAGGCGGGGCCCATTACTTACATCATAGGAGTCTACACAACACAAAACACTGTTGCTGTATGTAGGTTTTGTTTTATTTGTTTTTTATCTTATATTTTGGAAATGTACATCCAGTTGTTTTTTCCCTTTATTTTTTTTATGGGGGGGGCCAAGAGAGTGGGGCCCTAAGCTATAGCTTGTTTAGCTTATACGTAAACCCAGCACTGGCTGTATTGTACAGGTATTCACATATAACATTCAACAAGTGTAGTTTCTGTACTCTACAGCTGATCAATACACACTGTCACTCAAGGTTTGTTCAGCCATCACACTGAACACAGGTACAAGCTGTCTCTACTGGTGTATCAGTGGTTGTGCGAAAGAAACGTCCGCTTACATTGATTTGTCCAGCTTGTACACAGGTTCAAAGTCTGATGTTACATGTGAAGCACTGTACAAGTGAACAGGCTCAACTATTTGTGTACACGGGACCACAGGTTGCACACTCGCTTAATGTAGCATGTGCAGACATTGTACATCATCCCCCTCCCATTGGAAAAAACGCCCAAATGCCACCCTCTTTTCAATGTCTGCAAATGAAGTGGGGGAAGGGGAAGGTTAGGTCGGTTTGGCCCTGCCACCCAGTCTGCTCGACAGCGAGCGAATTTGTGAAGCCATCTGACAACCTGAACAACTGCAAGGTGGGTGGGTGGATGATTGGCACAGCCACAAAGCGGTGACTGGAAATCAACCGTCACAGAACAACAGCTTTCCTCCCGTCTTAAGCAAGACACTTTACAAGCGGAAACTTGTATACCAGAATGCAGCAGCTAGACTGGTGACTGGGAGCGGCTGCCGAGACCATATAACACCAGTCTTGAAAGATCTAAATTGGCTCCCAGTACGTTTCCAAGCACAATTCAAAGTGTTGGTGCTGACCTTTAAAGCCCTAAACGGCCTCAGCCCAGTATACCTGAAGGAGCATCTCCACCCCCATCGTTCACGCACTGAGGTCCAGCTCCGAGGGCCTTCTGGACAGTTCCCTCACTGTGAGAAGTGAAGTTACAGGGAACCAGGCAGAGGGCCTTCTCAGCAGTGGCGCCCGCCCTGTGGTACGCCCTCCCATCAGATGTCAAGGAAATAAACAGCTATCTGATGTTTAGCAGACATCTGAAGCCAGCCCTGTTTAGGGAAGCTTTTAATGACTGATGTTTTAATGTATTTTAAATCTTTTGTTGGAAGCTGCCCAGAGTGGCTGGGGAAACCCAGCCAGATGGGCGGGGTATAAATAATACAGTGGTACCTCAGGTTAAGTACTTAATTCGTTCCAGAGGGCCGTACTTAACCTGAAACTGTTCTTAACCTGAAGCACCACTTTAGCTAATGGGGGCCTCCTGCTGCCGCCACGCCGCCGGAGCACGATTTCTGTTCTCATCCTGAAGCAAAGTTCTTAACCCGAGGTACTATTTCTGGGTTAGCGGAGTCTGTAACCTGAAGCATATGTAACCTGAAGCGTATGTAACCCGAGGTACCACTGTAAATTTATTATTATTACTATTATTATTATTATTATTATTATTATTCACCACAGCCACTTCCGAGCAAGGGAGGAGGTGGGGTTGCAGGCTTCACACCCCTCCCCACACATGCGGGGGCTGGCTTTCCGCCCCCGCGATCACAGGGCAATCCTTGGACGCATCATCCCCCTGGCTAGCCAATCGGCTGGCCCGGGAGGTGTGGCCCGCTCTATTTAGGGCTGGCACGGCCAAGGATCTCCCTCTTTCCCACACCTCAGCTCATGTGGTTTATGCAGATGAAGGGGTGGGGAGGAAGTGCCATCACTTCCCCCAAAACAAAGGGTAGTCCGGTAAAGGATTCCAGGGGGTGTGGCCTTGTTCTAAGCCTATGGAGGTGGTGGGCCCACGGCACGCCCCCAGGCGGTGACCCCGGGGGGAGGTCCTAGTTGACGTGCCTCAGCAGGACTCCTCCCACTGGTGGTTAACCCTCACCGGCCTTCAACCATGCAGGCTGAAGCCGGTTAGTTTTTAGGACCAATGCCTAAGCCAATACCGCTCAAATCCTGTAATCAATAAAGTTGTGGCCTAATTTGACCCATTAACTCGAATTCTTGTGTCTCGTGTCTTTATTTCTGAGGGGGGAGGCGGGAACTCGCCACGCAATTGCCCATACAGCTGCAAGTCATTGTAGGTGGTCCACACACATTAAATAAGAATTACAGGTGTCCCATTATGCAAGTGGACGAGGACTAGTTTCTTTAAAAGACTCAACTGATATAGGACCTTATGGCACCTTGAGCTTCTTGGAGGAAAGGTGGAAAAGCAGAGGTGCGGAACCCTCAGGCCCAGAGGTCAAATGCAGCCCCCTTGGCCTGTCTCTCTCTATGGCCTCTGGGACTCTCTCATGGTCCTTCCCCAAGCCAGACCCCCATGCCTGTGCTCTGTACCTTCCCCTTGACTACTTTTGCCCGGCTGGACTATGCCCTTGAACCAGTGGTGTAGTGTGGGTTGCCAGTACCCGGGACAAATCTTAAGGCTGCTCTCCCTGCTTTGAAATAACACAGGGTTTGCTTTGCCTTTACTCCATCAAGATTTTCTCACTCCAAGTGTAGCTAACCTGCATACCCTCCAACATTTCTCCGATGATAATAAGGACATCCTATTCTATTATTATTATTATTATTATTATTATTATTATTATTATTATTATTATTCTGCCCATCTAACTGGGTTGCCCCAGCCATTCTGGGCAGCTTCCAACACATAATAAAACATTAAACATTAAAAAAAACTTCCCAATACAGGGCTGCCTTCAGATGTCTTCTAAAGGTTGAATAATAACTTATCTCCTTGGCTTGGGGGTCACATAATGCCACACCCTCCAACATTTCTCTGATGAAAATAAGGATGTCTTAAGGGAAAGTGGGACATTCCAGGATCAAATCAGAAACGGGGATGGCTTGTGTAAATCTGGGACTATCCCTTGAAAATATGGACACAGAGGGTCTATCCATTCTGTCAGGGACTGGGGGCTGGACACTAAGAAGTGGGCACCAGAAGAAGGGAGGTTAGACACTGACTTGGATAAAGAAATCAGTGATCTGGGGCAGAGGCGGAGCTAGCTGCTCCGTGGCGCACATTCTGTGCACCCGGAGGCGGGGCTAGCATCTGGGGGCACGACGATGTCACCCCCCCTCAGGGATGACACCCAGGGCGAACCGCCCCCACCACACCCCTCTTCCTCCGCCACTGATCTGGGGGAGCCTGTAGCAGCCAAAAGAGGCAGGATTGGAGAGTGAAGAACAGGTAGAGACTCAAGGACTTCCACACCTCCTTCTGCTGCTGCCCTATCCCTCTCCTGCTCCACTGTCTCCCAGGACCAGGAGAGGACTGAAGCGGGAGGAGCAGAAACGGGTTACACACAGGCGTAGTCTCCACCTGCTTACGGGCAGCTCAGGTAGGGAAAATATATAAGAGACCATCTTGCTTGTCACTTAGTGCAGACCCAGGTCATCAAGCATGACAGCTGCCACCTGCCATGAACCACCACTGGCAGGACTGGCAACAACAGTAGCTGATACGTTCTGCACCTAAGGTATTTTACTCTCTTGTTAATTATGCTGTTTTTATTTTATATTTGACTTCCTTTAGTCATGTTTTATTTTGAAATGTTTAAGGTATTTCTTTTGTTAAATGTGCATTCTGTGCAGCAGTCGCTCTCCTTTGTAATGCTTTATTTTGAAATCTTCAGGATAACATTTGAGCGTCCTGTTGAATGCTCTGAATGTATACTTTATATCTGTTATATTCTGGGTTGTTTTATTTGATGCTTTAATGCGTTGTAAACTGCTTTGAGGTTTTTCTTAAAAATGTAAAGCGGTATTGAAATGAAATTCATGATAAGCTGAGGTCAGGGTCGGGGCCTCTCTGTTGAGGCAACTGCCTCATCAGGGATACACCCAGGAGCAGCTGAGAAATCCAGGACTAATGGACATGCCTTTTCAAAACTTGTAGTTGTATATTTTGACAATGAAGAGTGAGTTTCTCACCCTGGACATTCCTTGGCTGACAAGCGCCGTGTCACATTCCATAGGACCTGGCAGAACATGGTTCTTACTACTACAGAGATACTGACTTCCTGGATATATTAATTAGAAATATTAATCCACATGATTAATCTAACATGATTAAATTTTAAACACCAGTGAAAATAATTAAAAGGAAGATGGGTCACAGGGCTGGTCATTTCTCAGTGTCTTCCGAAGTAGAACATTAGATGGATAGTGGACGGAACGAGCGCTTTCTTAATGAAATACTCGCTGCACTGCCAAGCTTGGGAGAAAGATGGATTAATCCTGATCCTCTCTTTCCACATTAGCGTGATGGTCGCTTGTAGCTGGTGAATGAGAAGTTAAAGTGTTTCTTTAAGTAGATGTTTTAAGCGAGTGCAGAGTTTAAAGAAGTCTCCGAGGTCGAACAAGATGAAAAGTCATTTGCAGAATTGGCAACTGGGTGAATGGGGGTTTGGGGGGGGGGTTGAGCAGTGACGTAGCGTGGGTTGTCAGCACCCGGGGCAAGGCAAGTAATTTGCGCCCCCTAACCCATGGATTTGCGCCCACTAACCCTAACCGCCAGAAGTTGCGCCCGGTGCGTCTGCCCCCCCCTGCACCCCCCACGCTACGCCACTGGGGTTGAGGCTGCTATCCAAACAACTGGATCTGCAAATGAAAGGATGTCCACTTGTGCAAAGGAGTTTGACTTCCTTCTCCTCTCCCTACACAAGCCCCCCTCCCCAAATATGCTCCAGAGGATTGGGGAACACACACACACCCGAACAGATTTAGGGGGTGGGCAGAGAGAAGAGAGGGGGGAGAAGTTTGTTTATTTATTTATAAAACTATTTGTAGACTTCTGTATCAAAAAAATATACACTTCGCAGCAATAGAAACATAAAAGCATACAGTAAAAGCATAAAACAGTTAGAAATAAAGCAAAACAGTTAAATGCAAATGTCAATAAACCATTGTTGTGTTCTTGCACAAAGGCCTTGCACTAGTGGTTCCACTCTATTAGATTCTGCCCTAAATTGGAAGATTCAGATCAGGACTACAAAAGGTTAAGCCCCCTACCGCCCGCCCACCCCCCACATAGCACAGCAGGGTCCTGACGTGGGTTACACACACACACACATTTGTCATTTACATTGTAAAGGCCTTTAATAATAGCTGTTTTCCTTTTAAGAATTGCCATCCTACCCATTTCCTGAAACGGATTCAAGACAATTAACAAAACGCTGGTGAAAAATGACCAAAGCCAACATAATCCCTTTAAAAATGGCCCAGAATGCATTCAAATTAATGTCAATTAATGTTTTACTTTATTTATTTTTTAGATCAAGGTTGCCTCATTTTGCCCTTTGTATAAGTTAATATATGGAACATTTTCCCCTTTGCTGGCTCTAAGGATGGATGGACCCAACAAACTATTCTTTGGTGGAGGGGTTGGTGATTAAAGTTGTTAAGTTGTGGGTGAAAATATCAGACGACACAGCGATTCTTCAAACAGCTCTTGTTTATTCACAGGCCAGGACAGAACTGAACTGAACTGAAGGGTTGAGTCAGCCTGCTTATATAGAGCTCCAGTACAACGTAACTGTAACGATTTTCTAAAACTATCCAATCACTGAACGTCACTTTCGATCCCTTATTTGCATAACTATCTACAGTATCCCCCTGCTGACCCAGGGTGAGAACTTCAGTACATAACAAAAGTGACATCATGTCTGGTGCAAATATGGGCTAAAAGTCCATTTCTGGTTGGGATTTTTAATGGGAAATCCCAAAAACATCCGTATGGAAACACACTGTTTAAAAAAAGAAGTACTTACAAGATGATCCGAGGGTTGTAGGTTGCCTCCATTCCTCTAAAAGTAAAAAACGAAAAATTCCTTTTAAAACTTCTAAAAATAAAGCGCCCAGCCACCCACAGCCTGAGATGTGAGGGCACAGGGCACCCTGCTGCAAATTGCACACACAGCAAGCTCCCCAGAGGGAGATGGGACTCGGTACCCTTCCAGCACTATTAGGAGGAGTTATAAAGAAAAGCAACACTGTCCCCAGGACTCACAGTTCCTGTTTCAACAGAAGGAACCTGCTTAGCTAGAAGCCAGGCGCCCGGTCCTCAAGAGTTTCAGATAACTGGTCTGTGTGGGGAGGGAGCAAGGGTGTGTCCACACAAGTCCGGCCCCCAACATTCCTGCACACACCAGCTCCATGGCAGACCTTTGATTATAGTCAACGCCAGTCAACGTGTGCTTCAGAGAGCCTCACACCATCAACATACAAACAGCTCTGCTGGATCGAGCCAATGGCCCATTGTTTCCTGCTTGGCAGGGGGTTGGACACGATGGCCCTTGTGGTCTCTTCCAACTCTATGATTCTATGATTCTAGACCAGAGTATCCTGTTCTCACAGCAGCCAACCAAATGCTTATTATGGGAAGTCCACACATTGTATCCAGTGCTCAGAGTAGACTCATTGAAATTGATGCACATAACTCTTTTTCTGCCCAGAATTCACATTTGGTTTACTATTTCTTCAGAATACAGTGGTACCTCAGGTTAAGAACTTAATTCGTTCTGGAGGTCCGTTCTTAACCTGAAACTGTTCTTAACCTGAGGTACCACTTTAGCTAATGGGGCCTCCTGCTGCCACTGCATGGCCACCCGCACAATTTCTGTTCTCATCCTGAAGCAAAGTTCTTAACCCGAGGTATTATTTCTGGGTTAGCGGAGTCTGTAACCTGAAGCACCTGTAACCGAGGTACCACTGTACAAGAACACAAAGGAAGACACCAGAGCCCAGTTCAAGACATTTTGGCACCACAAAATGGCGCCCCCTGCCTCCTTCCCTGCCAGGGAAGAAGGGGTGAGTGAAGATCTACATCAGGAAGAAGAGAGGGGGAATAAAGATCTATGTCGGGAACGAGGGTGGGACACCTAGGAGCCAACTCCTAGGGACTGAGATCCCTTCAGCTCCTTCAATAAAATACAGTGGTACTCAGGTTACAGACGCTTCAGGTTACAGACTCCACTAACTCAGAAAAAGTACCTCAGGTTAAGAACTTGCTTCAGGATGAGAACAGAAATCGTGCAGCGGCAGTGGGAGGCCCCATTAGCTAAAGTGGTACCTCAGGTTAAGGACAGTTTCAGGTTAAGAACAGACCTCCAGAACAAATTAAGTTCTTAACCCGAGGTACCACTGTACCTGAGGGGGCCGGGGGCCCTCAAAGTTAAGGGGCATTGCCATTTAAATGGTGTAGGTTTGTGTGTTGTGATTACTTGGGACGGGGCATACCTCTCACCCCCAATATTTTTTTTAAGTTGGTGGGAGGAGGCCTGCAGCACCTCCTATTCGCCAAGAGACCACTGTAGAGGCGGCGTTGGGGGACCACCAATGGGTCCACAGCGACGGCAGCGAGTGATGCACTCCTCGGAGGCAGGATCTGCTGCCCCTGTGGATCCCACCACCCAAAGTAATCCACCTCACCTTGTCTCATGGGTGGCGTTGATACATCACCCAGGCCTACTTGTGAGTCCCAGCAACTGGTAATTAGAAGCAATCTGCCTCTGACAGGGCATGAGGGCTAAAATGTGAAGCTCAAACCCACCCAGCCCTCCATGTTTACATTGGCTCCAGAACGAGGCAGATTCGTGGGCCTACTTATGTCAGTGGAATTCTAGCTCTGCTCAGCAAAGCACCCTCTGAATACCCCATTCATTGCTTGTGGTAAATCTAAAGAGGTCCTCCCAGCTGCTTTCTGCTCTTGATACACACAGAGGCTTCTTTCTCCCAAGCAGAACCACCTCCATCCTCATTTAAGATCTGCTGTTCCAACATCTTCTCAACCAGGGAGTCAACCCAGTTTTTGCCATCCATCTTTTCTTCTCCCTCCCTGGTCCCAAGACAACTGTTTAGGGAAGTTTTTAATGTCTGATGCGGTATTGTTTTTAATATTCAGTTGGAAGCCGCCCAGAGTGGCTGGGGAAACCCAGCCAGATGGGCGGGGTATAAATAATAAATTATTGTTGTTGTTGTTGTTGTTGTTGTTGTTGTTGTTGTTGTTGTTGTCAGGGGTTCAGGAGCAGAGGCACAGGAAATAGAGAGCGAGGGGGAAGAATCCGAAGGAAATGTTAGCGATGACAGCGGCCCGAGGTCTCTGAGTCTTTCCAGCGAATCGGAAGATTCACAGGAAGGGGCGCCCATGGTCAGAGCAAGGGGGGCGCCCAGGGGGACACCCCAGGAAGAAGGGGCCAGAGGGGACTCAGAGAGCAGCAGTTGGAAATCAGGACCAGCTTCCCCACCAAAGCGCAGAAGGGGGGAGGAGTCCCAGGTATCGGGATCAGGCGGCTCGCCGCCAGCGGGAGGATATGAGTCAGGATTGGCCACACCTCCATCGGGGAGTGAGGAAACGGTCAAGAGGAAGGTTGAAGGCTGGGCGCGCGCGCCAAGTTCAAATGCACAGGAAGGCGGCACAGTAAGTAGCCCGGATAAGGAGCCAGGTCCTAAAGCCCGCCGAAAGGAGGGAGAAGAGTCCGGGGGGTCGGCGTCAGAAGAGTCCAGAAAGGATGTTACCACGGGGGGCAGAGAGACCCAGAGGAGGAAGGAGAGACGGAAGAGGTGGAGTAAGGTTAGAGTCTTAAGTTGGTGTACAGGGGGTGGAGACTCAGACGGAGCTTCGCCGGTCTAGCTTCTAAGACGTAGAGCTGCGCGCTGCGGCTTGGAAATGGAAACTGTAATTCAATAAAGACTTTTGTACATTACTGCCGGCTAGCGTTGGTCCTCTGTGAGCTGGGACCTGGAAGCAGCTCTGACAATTATTATTATTATTATTATTACAACACGCAGTGGAAGCCATTCAACTTCCAAGGCATGTTTGAAAATGGAAGCATTTGCGTCCGGGTTTGGGGCGTCCGGGTTCCAAAATGTTCAACGGAAACATTTGAAAACCGAGGTACCACTGTACCAGTTTTTCTGGAAACCACAGGAGGGCAGAGTGTTCTTGCACTCAGGACCTGCTTACAGGCTTCGCATGGGGGCATCTGTTTGGCCACTATGAGAACAGGATGCTGGACTTGATCCAGCAGGTTCTTCTTATGTTCTTCAGATAGGGAGCTTGTGGCCCTCTAGGTGTTGTTGGCCTACAACTGCCATCATCCCTTGCATCACTGACTCTGCTTGCTGAGGCTGATGGGAGATGTAGTCAAAGGACATCTGAAGGACCAGAGGCTCCAGGCCCCTTTGAAAGCCTTCTGAGATGAACTGGTGGTTTACCACCACATCTAGTGGCAGCAAATTCCACAAAATTAATTGCATGTTATAAAAATAAACACAAAAAGGAAGGAGACTCCATAAACTCTCTAGCCACAGCACCACCAAAGAATGCCATAAAACAGTTAGGCGTTAACTTTTATGGGCTTGGAAGGACAGACAGGAGGGAAAAGTTCGTCTCCTGCTGGGACAATACCAGTCAGTGCATAAACTGAATAGGGGAAGGGTCGTAGCTTAGTGGAAGAGCATCTGCTTTGCATGCAGAAGGTCCTGGGTTCAATCCCCAGCATCTCTAGATAAACCCCTGCCAGTCAATGTAAAGGTAAAGGTAAAAAAAGAGGTAAAGGACCCCTGGATGGTTAAGTCCAGTCAAAGGTAACGATGGGATGCAGCGTTCATCTCACTTCAGGCCAAGGGAGCCAGCGTTTGTCCACAGACAGCTTTCTGGGTCATGTGGCCAGCATGACTAAACTGCTTCTGGCGCAACAGGATACCATGACGAGTGCCAGAGCACACGGAAATGCCATTTACCTTTCTGCTGCAGTGGTACCTATTTATCTACTTGCACTGGCGTGCTTACAAACTGCTAGGTTGGCAGGAGCTGGGACAGAGCAATGGGAGCTCACTCCAGCATGGGGATTCGAACCGCCGACCTTCTGATTGGCAAGCCCAAGGGGCTCAGTGGTTTAGACTACAGCGCCACCTGTGTCCCTGCCAGTCGGTGTAGACTGTACTGAACTAGGTGGACTCAGTACAAGTCAGCTTCCTATGTTCCTGTGAATTAATGGAGGGGAGATTAAGGAGCCTTTACCCCCTTTGTCACACTGCCTACTTCCTCCTTTCTTCTCAAAGCTTTGGACGGCAGGCAATAGAAGAGGAAGCATTCCCAAGAGACCCAGAATGCAAATTCTACCTCCCTGCCATCTGTCTCGGACAGGGTACTGTTGGGAGGGGCATCTCCCCTGAAAGGCAAGCTTTGAAAATGAACATTCAGAAGTAACGAAATAGTAACAGATTGTGGCTCCAGCCTTCGCCTGTGCACAGATCCTCAACTCAGGCCTGACTCTGGCTGGCTCCCGCCGTCAGGCGCAATAGCATCCTAGGCTAAAAAGAAAGGGCAGGAAATTTATTCGCTGTCTTCCCCTGAATTCCCTGCCCAAAGCAAAATCATCTTCATCATGTGCATCTTGCAGTTTGACTCGGCACTGCGGAGGACATCCATGTCTAGAGTTAGCATAAAAGCAGACTCCCTGGGCGCACGCACCCCAAATGACCCCCCACAGAATCAGAAACTCGCACATCACAGTCCCCCAGCTGTCTGCACACCGGCGGTCCAGCGACTGAGCGCTGATCGGTCCAAAGTGGGTCAAACGCTGGGTGCCCAAGACATACATGCAAATGTGCGTTCACACAAACATATTGTCTGATGAAATGGTACCCTATCCAAAACGTCAGCCCCAAATCAGGCACCCACAAAAGGCAGCATGTGTACATCAGTGTGTTTTCCTTCTGGCTTCCACTGATGTGAGCGGCAACGATGGGAGGACAGCACAGAAAAGAGGCTGGTGTTTTGTTTTGTGGCTTGCATTTTATATAACCCACCACAGCCTCTCGCAGATTCTGGCCCCCTCTTCCCCTCCCCTGATCTCTCACGCTCTGCCTTCGCCTCCTTACCGGCTTCCTCCTGTTCCTCTGCCCTTGGCAAGTCTCTTCTGTGGCTAACTGCTTCTCCTCAGGCACCATTCTTGTGCCCCCACCCCCTCCTCCTTCTCTCCAGCTCTCGGCTATTACTATAAATATACCCTTGTACCTTCAGCTTGGCTGAGTGGCTTCTCTGGGTCTGGGTCCTGGGAGAAAGCAGCCGCTCGACTAATCGCTCCTGAATAATGATTGAATCCATAATAACCAACGGCAGGCCAGACCGGGAGTCACCATGGGCCAAGCGGGAGAAAAAGCCCAGCCCATGCACTCCCTCCCAGCTTTGACTAAATCCATAAGGCTGCCACCCCCGCCCACACACGGGGGGAGAGAGAGAGAGAGAGAGAGAGAGAGAGAGAGAGAGAGAGAGAGAGAGGCAGCCCGGGCCTTTTCTGCAAGGCAACCACCAGCTGGCTAGAATTTCCTGTGTTGCTGTTGCCGCCTTGCTCACAGGAGGGTGGAATAAATATCAGACAACAAAGGCAGCGGCTGCCATGCGAGGAGAAGCAGCTCCGTGGGTGACAGTTTCCTCAGACAGTAGCAGCAGCACGGTGTAATGGTTAGAACAGGTCTGACTCGGTTCTGAGGCAGCGTCCTACCCCAGAGACGAAGAGTCATCTTCGTCTCTTACTGGTGAACCAGAAGCTCTAAGAAGGAGGGAGGGTGATTGGTTGACGGGCCTCCAAACTTTCTCCTGTAGTGGAACTCAAGGCAGTGAGAGCCACAGCGCTGAGATCAGGAGATAAACATAAGGACATAAGAGCCTGACGGACCAGGCCAACGGTCCCTGTCGTCCAACGCCCTGTTCTCTCTTCTTTTAATACAAATTTATTTATTTGGTTTTTCAAATTAAAGTTTTGCAGAGATATATCAAACATAAATCATTAAAAACAAGATTCCAAGGAATCTCCTGGACTTCCATCCTTCCCTTTGGGGGTCCAATTATTAATCACTTCCTCCCGCATCTTTTATGATAATCCAAATCTTTTACATCTCCATTGTGTCCAGAATTCACCATTAAGTTACAAGTGATATTCCAGTCCTACTAACAATTTTAACTGTTTGGAATGGTCTTTAAGATAAGTTATAATTTCCCCCCATTCCTTATTAATATTTTGGTCTTCCTGATTTCTGATTCTTCCGGTCATTTTAGCCATTTCAGCATAGTCCATCAACTTGATCTGCCATTCTTCTCTGGTCGGGACTTCATCTTCTTTCCATCTCTGGGCCAATAACATCCGTGCAGCCATGGTCGCATACATAGTCTTTTCTGCTCCCTTGGGATTTCGGCACCTAAAATCCCTGAAAGGAACACCCTTTTCTCACAGTGGCCAACTAGATGCCCGTGGGAAACTTGCAAGCAAGATTCAAAGACAAGAGCCCTCTGCCCTCCCTGCCAGCAACTAGAATTCAGAAGCATCCTTGCTTCCAAGTGCAGAGCGGAGCCATTGTGACTAGGAGCCATTCTCTTCCATGAATCTGTCTAATCCTCTTTTAAAGCCATCTAGGTTGTGGCCCTCACTGCCTCCCATAGGAGGGACTACCATAATTTGTGCTGCATGAAGAAGTATTTCCTTTCATCTCTCCTGACTCTTCCAACGTTCAGCTCCATTGGATGCCAACGAGTGTTATAAGAGAGGTTGGTGCTGACCTTTAAAGCCCTAAACGGCCTCGGCCAAGTATACTTGAAGGAGCGTCTCCACCCCCATCGTTTCTGCCCAGACACTGAGGTCCAGCTCCGAGGGCCTTCTGGCGGTTCCCTCCCTGTGAGAAGCCAAGTTACAGGGAACCAGGCAGAGGGGCCTTCTCGGTAGTGGCGCCCACCCTGTGAAACGCCCTCCCACCAGATGTCAAAGAGAAGAACAACTACCAGACTTTTAGAAGACATCTGAAGGCAGCCCTGTTTAGGGAAGCTTTTAATGTTTAACCGACCACTGTATTTTAATACTTTGTTGGAAGCCGCCCAGAGTGGCTGAGGAAACCCAGCCAGATTGGTGGGGTATAAATAATTTATTATTATTATTATTATTATTGGAACTTTCTCTAGCCACTTCCTCCATTCCATGCACAACTTCTCTTGTGACCTCTTGCTTGCCTTTAAAGGCATGTCCCCAATTCTGCAGGCTTTCCTCATAAGGGAAGGAAGCTGCAGAGATGCGTTGGCTACTTCCCCGTGGCTCGTAGGGCCAGATCTGGCCCACAACTTAGCTAACCCTGCTTTGAGAAACACTTGCCAGCACAAAGGCAAAGCCAGGAGGTGTTGTCTCAAAGCAGGGAGAGCAGCCCTACAACTTGAGTTCTGCTCAAAGGGAGAGCATCTGGGTTAGGAAACCAAGCACACGCCCTTGAACATTTTGCAAAATGAAAACAAGGGCACGCTTGTTAACGCCCTTAGTCTCATGCTACATATGGTTTTGCAGGCCCCACCCTCTCCATTGCTACATGTCAAAGGCTCTTTGCGACATCCCTCCCCTTTGCAGTAGCCCCTGTCCTTCCTCCACCGATACAAAAGCCAAGAAAGACATGGTTTCTAGATTACATGATAACCTGGAAAATGTCAAGGTCCAACAATGCTATCAACGTTTCAAAACATGCCTCAGCACTGCAGGCGCATTAGGCTTCCTGTATACACATCTACCAACATCATTCCCTTGATATCCAACGTGTTGGTGCTGACCTTTAAAGCCCTAAATGGCCTCGGCCCAGTATACCTGAAGGAGCATCTCCACCCCCATCGTTCAGCACTGAGGTCCAGCGCCGAGGGCCTGCTGGTGGTTCCGTCACTGCGAGAAGTGAGGTTACAGGGAACTAGGCAAAGGGCCTTCTCGGTAGTGGCCCCCACCCTGTGGAACGCCCTCCCTTCAGATGTCAAGGAAATAAACAACTATATGACTTTTAGAAGACAGCTAAAGGCAGCCCTGTTTAGGGACGTTTTTAAGGACTGATGTTTTTATTATACTTTTAGATATGTTGTAAGCCACCCGGAGTGGCTGGGAAAACCCAGTCAGATGGACAGGGTATAAACACTGGCGGAGGAAGAGGAGTGCGGGGGGAGCGCACCACCCCCGGCAGCACGATCCCAGTGGGGTGCCATCACGGCTGCCCCCCAACCCACTCTGGGCACCACGCCCCCACAGACGTCACGTCACGCCCCTGGGATGTGCACCAGCCCCGCCCCGTCTGCTCTCCACCCCCCATGAAGCTCCACCACTGGGTATAAATAATAAAATTGTTGTTGTTGTTGTTGTTACTGACAGGAATAGACTAATCTGTCAGTTTCATTTTCTCTCTCCGTTTCTCATTTTTCCACTCTTAAATACAGTGGTCCACATTTCCTCATCAGTTTGCAAAGTAAAATAAATAAATAAATAAAACAGAACTTTAGTGTGAACTAATATACACATTTTTTGCAAAGCAATCCCTCCATAGAGATTTTTGTATACTATTTGAATGCATCTATTCATGTGTGCACCTCTATGCACACTTTCCCCTGGTACATGCGTTTATGTACACATCACTTCGCTGAAGAACTGCATTGCAAAATTCAGAGAAGTTGTGAATCTCAACCACTTTGCTCAAGAACTTTTGCGTCCGGGTTTTCGCTTTCTGAACTATGGCAGCCCTAAAGAAGCGAACACCAGTGAATTCCGCTCCTGTTTCCATTTTCATCAGGGTTCTGCAACATCCCTAAGAGGAAGTGAGTTTTACACAAAGAAGAAGTCTGTTTGCAAAGCAGGCCAAGGTTAGAGCTGCAACAGCGTGCTCACGCCAGAGCAAGAATTTCATTAGGTTGTAAATCTAAAAGGTCTCAGGCAGCTGTTCTAATACATCTGTAAATGTCTCTCGTCAACTAATCTGCTTTGGGATGTAGTTGTGGACCTCCAAGGCACTTGCCATTTGGCTGATTGCTAACCTGGCCAAATCGCAGCCTGTAAATTCTCCTTGAAATATGACAGGAGCTTTCATAACATCATCTATTATCCAAAGCAAACAACATAAGCACATCCCCTCCGAGCCCAGCCACACCAACGCATGAAAAAGAGACACAGAGAGGAGGTGAAAAGAGGACTAAATAAGATACACAACCAAACAATGTTAGAAACTGAGATATATAAGGTAAAGGTAAAGGGACCCCTGACCATTAGGTCCAGTCGTGGCCGACTCTGGGGTTGCGGCGCTCATCTTGCTTTATTGGCCGAGGGAGCCGGCGTACAGCTTCTGGGCCATGTGGCCAGCATGACTAAGCCGCTTCTGGCGAACCAGAGCAGCACACGGAAACGCTGTTTACCTTCCTGCCGGAGCAGTACCTATTTATCTACTTGCACTTTGAGGTGCTTTCAAACTGCTAGGTTGGCGGGAGCAGGGACCGAGCAGCGGGAGCTCACCCCATTGCAGGGATTCGAACCACCAACCTTCTGATTGGCAAGTCCTAGGCTCTGAGGTCCACAGCGGCATATAAACTAGGTGCCAAATGGCTTCTTAAACCAGGGTTGCAGCCGCCCAAACAGAACGTTGAGTTGCCATTTTGGGGCCAGACGGCTTGAAATGGCAAAACATGAATTTGTGTTGTTGTTCCTGAAATACATTCTGATTGTGCAGATAAAATATAACCAACAGGATTCCAAGGGACATGTTGTTAGTATGTGAAAAGAGACAAGATACAAGGATCCCCAGGCAGACACCTTCAGATGGTGGAGATGTCTGGCGCCATCCTGGCACCCGGGCACCTGCCAAATTTCACACACTGCAACCAACCACAGGGAGTGATGAATATCCAGCTTGCACTGGTACATTGTGGGAAATAAGAACATGAGAAGAGCTTCCTGGATCAAACCAATGGCCCATCACATCCTAGGACCGTGTTCTCACAGTGGCCAACCAGATGTCTCTGGGAAGCTTACAAGCAAGACAACGCTCTCCCACCTGAATTTTCCAGACACCGGTATTCATACGGCCTCCAACAGTGGAGGTAGAAGAAGAGTTTGGACTTGATAGCCCGCCTTTCACTCCCCTTAAGGAGTCTCAAAGCGGCTTTTTCTTCCTCCCCCACAACAAACACTCTGTGAGGTGGGTGAGGCTGAGAGACTTCAGAGAAGTGTGACTAGCCCAAAGTCACCCAGCAGCTGCATGTGGAGGAGCGGGGAAGCGAACCCGGTTCACCAGATTACGAGTCTACAGCTCTTAACCACTACACCACACTGGCTCCCATAAATACATACATATCATGGCTTGTAGGCACTGACAACCTTGACCTCTATGCATTTGCCGGTTCCTCTTTTAAAGTCACCTGAGATGATGGCATCTTGTGGG